CGAAGAAGCTACAACTGTTCATTTTACATAGAGTTTTTGTCACTACTAACACAAAGCATTTCCCCCCCCACTATCATGATGGTACAGCTTAGGCTCCAGCCATATAGGCTACATGATTTATAGTCTATCAGGATATGTGATCTGAGGGCTTTAGACTATATAAGGAGACAACAGAGGTCATGGTGTAGACCAGTGCCCACCTCAGGAGAAGCAGAGATAACCACTGTTAAGAGATGATAAATTTCAGACTGTTGGAGGGAGACAAAATGAATGTGAAAGACTGGATAAATTGGTCCAGTACAAGTATATATAATTTTATGCAGAAAACTGTGACACTAAGAAGGTATAAAAAATTTCTACTTTGTAATAGTAATCCCCATATCACAACTTTCCATTGTACGCCGCTTAATCCTGCTGGGCCACGGACAGTGAGTTCATGACTGTATCACTCTACTGCTTTTCCTTTGTCTCAAAACCAGACCTACAGCATTTCTCCATTTCCGATGGTGGTTTCCATGCCAGATTATGTTTTCCAAAGAGACCCAGAGGGTCATCTAATTGTAGGTTAGGCTGACACCATTGCTGACACCCTTCTGTCAATTCTGCTAGGGTTATCCCTCACCCATGCATAATGCCTAGATTCAGGTGTTCATATATATGGTTCCTGGTATGCCTTTGGTTGTGCCAAAGACTTGGGTATATATCAGCTATACTGAATTTAATTCATTTCTATTTTAATTCCCATCAGAAAAGGTCTCTATGTTACAACATTATTTGAAGTTAATAATTGCCTTCTAAGCTTGCTTTTGTTAATTGTAAGACTCACAGAGGTATTATTGTAGGTACTAAGAGAAATGCTCTAGCTGATCTGTATTCTATCCTCTCTTCAGGCAAAGTTCTCAATTCCAAATTTTAAAAACTTGGCATTTTTGCAAAATGATTATCTTAAATTTGAAAGAGAACAGTAGCAAAAAGTAGAATTGCCCTTGGTATCTCAATAATCTGTGGTACTCCCCCCAAAGCTGCCTATAGAATTACTGCCTCATCTTTTCTTGTTTGTTTGTTTTTTATCCTCACCTGAGGATATTTTTGCATTTATTTTCAGATAGAGTGGGAGGGAAAGAGGGAAGTAGAGAGAGAGAAACATCGACGTGAGAGAGAAAAACATCAACGTAAGAGAGATACATTGAGTGGATGCCACCCACATGACCCCAACTGGGGCTGGGAACAAATTGCAACAGAGATACATGCCCTTAGTGGGAACTGAACCCAGGACTCTTCAGTCCACAGGCCAACACTCTAACTGCTAAGCCAAACCGGCCAGGTCTTACTGCCTCATCTTACTAAAGTATTTGTTTATTTGTTTATTTATTTTTACACATGAACAAGGAGTAATGCTAGCAATAGAAAAATATGATTGGCATGCTTCATATGTTTCCAATATTTCAGGATCATTGCTTTATGTATTCTGCCAAACACAAAACATGAGTAAACCTGTAAATAATTTAGGTCATATCTTAACACTCTTGGGCTTTACCTGAGGCTTCAGCTGGCACTTATTTAGTTCCCTATAAATTAACTGATAATTAGTGTTTCATTTCTCGTTATTTGTTTTCTGGATAGATTGAACTCTATCCAAACCAAAAGTTAACCATCAACATCAGGAGTTATCAATTAGTAGATGCAATAATTTTCCTAGACAGGTTGTAAAATATATTCCCCAAATTTGCAGATTCCATACTGTCTCCTTAATCCGGAATATAGGTACAGTTGCAAAAGAAATGGAAAAAGAAGACAAGTTAGATAAAATGTTTGTTGGAACAAACTTACAGTGTCCTGGAAAACTTCACATTGTCCTCAGGAGCTTGGGAACAATCCTTCCTGCCCCCAAATGGTATCCTGAGACCATACAGAATTGCCATGAAAATACTGATGAATAAAGTTACTCTCCATTTACCTTCTCAATCCAAACAAATTTAAAATATGTTAGTAATAATCATGATTTAAGTTATTTCAAAATTCTTACAATTTGTGAGAACATGAGGGCCTTGAAAGTAAAAATGGAAAAATGGCTGTGGTAAACACATTAAAATAAATTGCTCTTGACTGCATGCTTGGTACTCAATTAGTATATGATATAATTGATATATATGATCATAGAAAAATGTAATCACTGAAATCAACATAAACAGCATTTAAGTTGTTATAAAATATTTGAAATTTGCACCAGTTAGCTGGACAGATGGGCTCTCTCTTTTTACGTCAGAGATTGTTTGGAAGTCATATATTTTTTTTAAACTCATCTTTATTGTTGAATTTATTACAGATGTTTCTCCTTTTTTTCCCCATTGAACACCTCCTCCCCATTCCCGCCCCCTCCTGCCTTCCCCACACTATTGTCGGTGTCCATTGTTTGTGCATATATGCATAGAAGTTCTTTGGTAGTCATATCTTTAAAAAAATAATGTTGTTTTATTGACTTCTATTTTGAAATAAACGTCACCTTAAATACTAGGCAGACAAGCAGAACAAACTCTGGCAAAATAAACTGTAAGCTGAATATATACACAAATAGAAAAATGTGAAGATACTTCAAAATTACTCATATCTGGATATCCATAAGAATAACTAGTGTTTATGGAAATACATTTTATTTTATTTATTTTATTTTTTATTGAATTTACTGGGGAGACACTGGTTAATAAAAGTTTACTGGTTTCAGGTGCACAATTCTATACATCATCTGTACACTGTATTGTGTATTCATCACCCCAAGTCAAGCCTCTGTCCATCACCATTTATCCCCCCTAGATCCTTTTCCACCTCCCCCAGCAATCACCACACTGTTGTTCATGTCAATGAGTTCTTTGTCTTTTTTTCTTTTTTGTTTAATTCCTCCACCCACTTCACCCAGCCCACCCCGCCCCCAGCTGTCAGCCTGCTCTCTATCTATGAGTCTCTCTCTATTTTGCTTGTTAATTTATTTTGTTCATTAGATTACACATATAAGTGAAATCATATGGTACTTGTTTTTCTCTGACTGGCTTATTTAACTTTTCATAATGTTCTCCAGGTTCATCCATGCTGTTGTAAAGGGTAAACTTTTCTTCTTCTTTTTTTCTTTTTTTTTTTTTATACTGCCATGTAGTATTCCATTGAGTACATGTACCACAGCTATTTTAAACACTCATCTACTGATGGACATTTGGGCTGCTTCTAGATGACTGTACCTATTAAACCATTTTAAAGTTATTTTGCCCTGCCCGGTTTGGCTCAGTGGTTAGAGCATCAGCCTGCGGTCCCGAGAGACCAGGGTTCGGTTCCCGCTAAGGGCACGTACCTCGGTTGCAGTTTGTCTCCGGCCCTGGTTGGTCGTGCGGGTGACAGCCACTCGATGTGTCCCTTTCACATCGATGTTTCTCTCTCTCTCTCTCTTCCTTTCTCTCCCTCCCACTCTATCTGAACAAAAAAATGAAATGAAAAAAAAGTTATTTTCTTTGGTCTTTACAAAAAATAAAATATTTATTTGCATGTATTTATTTATATGTAATCTATAAAATTACATGTAACAATTATTATGATATATATTATATACTACATAATATAACATAATATTTATATAATATATAATTATATACTGTATCAATATATTCTTTAATCCATTTTCTACTCTTTAAGTGTGGCAAATATATGTAGTTTTTACCAGATAAATAGTCAGAAATATGAGTTCTCCAAACCATAGACTAAATGAGTCATGTAGCAAATTAATTGTAAAATAACACTAAATTATACAGTATGTAATGTTATAAAACCTGAGACTGTCTGTCTATTTAAAACTGTAGGTTGTAGAATATAAAAGAGTCCCTAATCTCAAGATTTAAAAAAAAAAGCCTGAAACACCAATCAGAAAGAATATATGTACCCCTATGTTCATAGCAACACTATTTACAATAGCTAAAATCTGGAAACAACCCAAGTGTCCATCAGTAGATGAGTGGATTAAAAAGCTGTGGTACATGTACACAATGGAGTACTATACAGCTATAAGAAAGAAAGATCTCTTGTGCTTTGAGATAGCATGGAAGGGCCTGGAGAGTATTATGCTAAGCGAAACGAGCCAAGCAGAGAATGACAAATATCACATGATCTCACTTATTTGTGGAATATAATGAACTAAACAAACTGCTGAACAAATTAACCCAGAGACATGGAGGTGTGGTACAGGCTGACAAGCCTCAGAGGAGGGGGGTTTGTGGGGGAAGAGATACACAGAACTTACATGCATGTAAAGGGGAGGAGGGTGTCATTGGGAGAAAAATGAGAAATATCTGTAACAAAAACAAATTAATCAATAAAAAATTAAAAAAAATTGATTTTAGAGAGAGGAAAGGAAAGAGAGAGAGAGAGAGAGAGAGAGAGAGAGAGAGAGAGAAAGAGAGAGAGAAACATTCAGGTATTGAACCTGAAACCTGGGTATGTGCACTAACCAAGAATTGAATCCACCACCTTTTGGTGCACCCCACAGTGCTCCAACTAACTGAACCACACTAACCAGGGCCCTAATCTCAGATCTTATCTGATGATTGACTTTCTCCTGTAATATTGCCACAATCAAAGCCACATTTACACAACAATTTCAGCAAGGAAGAGAATTCTATATTTTGTCTTAATAGTGGGGTAAAATTTGTCTAACTAGTTAATTTATTTTTGATTCCTTGGAAATGTAGTCTCTCATTCCCATTTGGAGTTTGTTGATGGTAAATGAAAAACAAATGACAGCATCAAACTATTTGGTTTCACAGATATTTTCTTTGAATTAAACTTTTCCTTCTTAAATCTATAGAAATAAAACGAAGACAGTAATTTATGATAGTTTCCACATCTGAAAGATTTTTATTACTGTTATTCATCATCTTTATTGTGTTTAACAGTATGACCATTAAATGGAATGAAACATCAGAAGTTTTCAAAATGCTAATATATCTTAATTGACAAGATGATCAATTTCCTGAATTTTCCAATGATACAAACAGGAAGTTACAGAATATATATAAAGGGAAGTTCAGAGATGTGCTATCCAACTTCATTACCACTTTTTCCTCATCGTTTTCAAAGGTAAGGGTTTTATAACCAGTTGTTTTACTGAAACTTATTTTTCCACTAGAATCGAAATATACCAAGGTTAATCTAAATGCAATATTTCTTAGAGGTTGTAAACTAACTGAACCACAACATGACTGAGTAAAAGTATTTTGCTTGAAAATTATATAATGGCTGGTGAAGATGATATGTAAAGGAAAGCCAAAGTTGAAACCTGACCACTTCCAGGAGTATTGTCCATCCTTGACAATCATTTTACCACACCTCATGCTATATTTTTCAAGTTCTGTTTCATTGGTGTATCGAGGCCCAATTTCCTTGCATTGTTGTGCTCTAAGCAAGGTAAACCATTGCTGTTTATAAACTTGTGATAACCATTCTGCAGGTATTAGAGTATCTTGTTCAATAACTCTTGTGGAGGCCAGGTCACAGATGATATGCTGAAACCTCAAATTTTTAAACACTGGTTGAAATGCTATGCCTTGTTTGGTTTCAAGGAAGGCGATGTTAGCATCACGTTCTCTGTGCCTGAAAAACCAGTTGTTTGCATTAACTAAAAGCTGATTTATTGATCCTTTCCAAGCTGGGTTAAGATGAAGGAACATCCACTCTTTAAGTGTGGTGTATACATCTATTTCCTTTTGTATTACTAATAAATTAGCGGAAGAAATTAGCAAATTCATGAGCTCTATACTGAGTTTTTTGTAAAGTTCAACACTTGGATGTGTCATTAGATTTTGGAGAAGCCATTCAAAGCACCTTGTTTTTACAGAATCTAACTCATAGGTTTCTGCTGCTGCATAATAGACACATACAGTTTTCACATTAATTGTTTCCTTCATGGTTTCCTCACACTGCTGAATTAAGTCCTCTACTTGAAGCAGGTGTGCTGTTGCCAAAACTCTTGGAACTTGAAGGAGCTCCCTTAAGACATATTCATCTCTGTACAGTGAACCTAGTACAAAGTGTAGGGATTCTGCATCTATATTCTGGTCCTTAATCTCTAGGTTGATAACATCTTCTTGAGATGCTTTGCAAGAATCTCTAAACATAGTAGCAAAGTAGCCTGACTGAAATAAAAACATTTTGTGTAAACACCACACATTTCCCAGAGCACGGATTTTAATGTCACTGTTTTCCCCATTCAAAAACAAAGTTTGGTAAGCATACTCAGATGTTATCTTAACTTTTTTACGGTGATTTGTGGTGACGACTTGTTGTAGATTCTCTTCCTGGTCTAGAAACCTGCGGCTGTTCTCGGACTCTGGGCCCAAACTGGATCCGCTCCACTTGCGTTTACGGCTGGCAGATACATAACTGGGATCTACCTGGGCTTCTGGCTGATGCGGATCAGCTATGCCTGATTCCCTGCATCTCAGGATCCGACTGCCCAAGGACCCCATAGATGAAGACTTTTCAGACTCCTTACGGAGATTGTTGCAGAAGTCCTTGCCATGGCATTGCTGCGTCCTGTCACCTCTGCCTAGCTACGCCCTAGTCTAATTGGGACCCTAAGACACAGTTCCAAACGTCACAAAGGAGGCCCAAGGTTCTTCATTTTCCGGCCCGCCCCTCCATCCCTGTGGCCCCGCCCCTTGCCTCCAAGTCTTTCATTGAACCTGGCCCCTTACCAGGGTGCCAGCCTCCAGGTTTTCCTTGAGAATATTTCTCTATAGGGGAAATGACTGAACCAAAGGCTTTCTGATCAGAGTGTGAAAGATTGTAACACATTCACACACTCCAGCGTATGAGAGAATTCAGTGTCAGCAGTACTGAATACAATAATTTACCTACAACTTGTAGCAATTTAAAAGGTGAACAGTGTGGTATCGCAATATTTTATTTGCCTTAGATTACTAGAGGGGGAAGAGATTTTTAAAAATTTCCAGTAAGCTACATCTTCATATTCTTTGCTAATTTCTGAAAGGTGTACATATATTTTTGCCTTATGAATGGCTAACAGCCTCTTATAACAATTTTCATTTACTATTTATTTTTTATGGAGTTCTTTTTTGTAAAGATATTTTCACTAATTTTTTTTTTATCCTCACCCAAGAAAATTTTTTTGCATTTATCTTCAGACAGAGTTGGAGGGAGAGAGGGGGGAAGAGAGAGAGATAAACATCGATGTGAGAGAGACACATTGGCTGGTTGCCACCCACACGACCTCAACTGGGGCCTGGGACAAACTGCAACCGAGGTAGGTGCCCTTAGCGAAAACCAAACCCAGGACCCACTGGTCCGCAGGCCAACACTCTAACTGTTGAGCCAAACCAGCCACAGTGATATTTTCATTTTTAAGAGGCCAAATCAGATTTTACAAATATGGGTTTTTGCATCTCTGCTTAGGAAGCCTTCCCTTGTCTGAAATTAGATAAATATTGTTCTATATTTCCTTGCTGAACTTTCATGGCATTATTTAATCTTTTTCAATATCTAAATATTCAAGTTTAAAGCATTTGAAAATTATAATTTGAAGTGACACAAGCAATATACAAAAGAGTGTAGACAAATACAAACAGAAAAATACACATATATGTATATGTATGCACAAAGAAGATACTGCAAGTAATACGCAAGATTCTACCATATGTTATCTTTGGATTTTGGTATTATGGGTAGTACCAGAATGAAGTCCACACAGCAGGTACAGTGGGGTCTATAAACAGTGAGTGATCAGCTGCGTGGCACTCTTCATCCTTCTTAGCTGAAGTTTTTGGGTGGGTCCCACTTTCTCTTGATCCAGTTCAAGCTCCCTTACCTCTTCACAAAGCAGAACAATTCCTCTCCTTTTCAAAGAGCAGCAGTAATATGTACAAAGACAACGAATTGTCCAAGGTTATTTTTACAGAATTATTTTTTTATGTTTCATTCACTCTCAGAACTAGAACAGTGTCTGCTAGATGCTTATTAAATATTTGTGGAATCAGTGAACATATATTTTCCACCAATGCTTTGGATCAGACCTCAGAAAAGAGGTGCTGAAACCATCAGGCCTGAGGTCTACTGTCATGATTTATCTTCTGAACCAAGAAGTTGTAAAGATCAACTTTTGAGGCTCTTTCCAGAGAAGACAAATGCATAACTTAGTTTTCAGTGCGAGGAAAAGGAAGTTCCCCCTATCTTTTAAATTCTCAGAGTGACCAGCTCCCCCAAACAATCAATACCTGGGAAGTGGGGTATGAAAATCTTGCCTCTGAGCTCTGCACCACTTATAGCTGGGAAGAGCATTCACTTCTAGGGTCCACCTGCTAGGAGGTACCAAGAAAATACAAAGAGGCTTCCAGCAATATCTCTTTGGAAATTGTCTCTTGATCAAGTGTCTTAACTTCCAAAGAGTAGGAGTAATTATTCAGCAGACATGAAGAATTTGGGAGCCACCAAGGAAGAGGCATGTGCTTTTTTTTTTTCCTTCCAGCTATATTAAGATATAACTGACATAAACAATGGACACGCTTAAGGTGTTAGAATAATAACTTGAATACATATATTGCAAAATGATTACTACAATTAAATTTAGTTAACCTTTATCATCTCATATAGTTACTAATTTTTCCTTGTGATGAGAACTTTTAAGATTTACATTCTTTGCAACTTTCAAATATACCATACAGCAGTGTTATCTATAGTCATCATGTTGTTCTTTACATGCCCAGTACTTATTTAGCTTATAACTGGACATCAAAAGGTACAAGCTTCCATTAAAAGGCAAATATTTTTGATGAGTTTCAATGAAAAAATATAATGGCGTAAAATCCAACAGACCTAGAATTGAAAGCTAATTCCACCACTACTCAGCAGTAAAGCTTAAGCAAATTTCTTAAGCTCTCTGGTCCTTGGTTTACTCATCTTGTGAAGAATCAGCTATCTTTAAACTACTAATTAGCAGGCAGCAAAATCTCTCTTTATAAACAAAACCTCACAATTTTACAATATTCCCAAGATCTCTGTAATTTGTTAAAATATCATCCTGCCTTGATATTTGGGGTCTAGACTAGTATGGTTAAGGGAAAAGGACTTCTTTAATTACTAGCATTTTATAAATGTGGAAGCCAGATAGAAATGGCCGAGAGGCAGGTGTACTGTTTACATATGGGGACATAAGGGGGGATGATGTCATGACTCAGAACTCAGAAATAGGGGAATTAGGTTACTCTCTAAGATTATGCTACAATATCAGGGCAGAGATATATAAAATTACTTTAAGGAATAAGATTGCCTACCTCATCTGAAGAAAACCCAGTCTTGACTAAAAGTATTATAAAAGTTACAGATAGAATTTGTCAGTCTAAAGGAGGATGGTTGGACACCCCTGGTATGAAACCTGAGTAATATTCACCAAAAGCACTTTCAAAGGAAAATTAAATATAGGCCTAGGGATGTTGAATTTTTATACTTTCACTGGTTAAGCTTCTCAGCCCACTGTCATTAAACATTAAATTACACATAAACCAAATGTTAGCTCTCCCCACCCTCATTCTTTTTGTGTTACCACATGCATATGTTTTCACTGTATTAGCCTGGCTCTAGAAATTAGCTCTCCTTTCTATACACATGCATATTTTCTCACATTAGTGCCCCGTTTTGTGCAGTGGACAATGGGGCTGACATCCCCATGTCCATTTTATTGCAGTCATTAGTTGATGTAGTCATGGTAATGCCATTCCTATTGTCAGTGACTGGTTCATGTATTAATCTTTTTTTTTATCCTCACCTGAGGACATTTTTTATTTTTTGTTCAGACAGAGTGGGAGGGGGAGAGAGAGAGAGAGAGAGAGAGAGAGAGAGAGACATCGACGTGAAAGGGACACATCGAGTGGCTGCCACCCGCACAACCCAACCAAGGCTGGGGACAAACTGCAACAGAGGTACGTGCCCCTAGCGGGAACTGAACCAGGGTCTCTCTGAACCGCAGGCCAGTGCTCTAACTGCTGAGCCAAACCAGCCAGGGCTATTAATCACTTTTAAAAAACATTTCTGTGTTATGGTGTTTGGATATCTTAAAAAGCCATTTGGCTGGAGAGAAACTGCCCCTCTCAGGGATAGCCAAATCTTAGCAATAACAGAGATCAACCTGGAGCATGCTTGTGATGTGCAAACTAACCGATCTAGAGCCATACCTCCTATATCTGGTCCTTGTGACCCAGGATAATAACCCTCTGCCTTAATCAATCCCAGGGCCAGGTGTTAGGCAACTGGGGACCACCCTTCTAAGCCAAAGCTCACTGAAATTGTTCAAACTAGTCAATTCTAAACGGTATACTTTACCCTGCCTTGTCTTTCCTTGAGAAACCCCAGTAAAGGCTTTTGTCTAGCCTTTCTCCTTCCTGACCAAACTTGGAGTTCCTTGTGTGGTCCTGCATGGTGAGCAGTGCCTCTTATTTCTAGGGGAACTCTGAGTAACATTAAATTTTTCTTTCAATGACACTGACCTCTCCATACTGTCACTCAGTCACTTTTATAAATTAAGACCCAGGCACAGAACAGTTCAGGAATGAGTGTAAGACCCATTGCTGCCTAATGTGCTGATGAGTGGTATCTCCTGGAGGGGTTGGTACAGGAAAAGTTTCCTTCCCCATAAAAAAGAGATCCAGGAAGAGATGGTTCTTTCTGTCCCTAAACATCACCCTATCTGGATATGAAGGCTGTATCTGAGACAGCCATCTGGGGACCAGCCTGAAGAGGAGGCTAACACTGAAGATGGAAGACCAGGGAGATAGAAGAGATCTGGGTCCGTGATACCACCCCGATGTAATTATAACCAACTTGCCTGGAACTCTCCCTACCATTGGAATGCCTGTTGTATAGATTATAAGTTAGTCTGAATCAAGGTTTTCTGTTGTTTAAAGCCAAAAGCATCTTAACTGACACATTATGCATTGCAGATTTTTCCGTGGGAAGCAGCTAGTCTCTGGATCATAGCATAGACATTCTGCCACTTACAATCTGTGTAATCTTGGATAAAGAATTAATTGTCTCTGTGCTTCAATTTCCTTATCTGTGAAGTGAGAATAATATCTGTACTTCAGAGTTGCTCTTGAAAGCTTTATATAAAGTAATGTATGTCAAGCTCTTTATTACTATTTTAAAAGTGTCTTGGAGACAGAAAACAACATAAAGTCAGGTATATATTTCTATTCACTCCTATTTTCAAGTTTTTACCCTGCTACAATGCCTCACCCATCCAGCAACCCACCTCACCTGGCTCTCAGCTCCTCCCTTCATAAGAATAAGGATATTCTTTTACCTAATTACAGTGCAGTTATAAAATTCAGAAATTTTCACAATGACACATTATCTGATATAAAGCCTATATTCATATTTTGCTAGTAGTCTTAATGTTGTCTTTTGTTTTACCTTTATTTTCCTGATCCAAGATCACACACTGCATTGTTATCATGTT